TTCCAGGAAATGCAGCCAGGTTAGAAGGAGACTTAGAGAGGCACTATGGATAACAAAGATAAAATGAGCATTTAAATTGCTTTTTGGTGAGGATAAAAGCACATAATTAAACATTTTTTTCAGAGTTCTTTTTAATTATATAGCATCTGTTGTGATCTCATACTGGAACCCCAGGATACTTTTGTCTATAATAGCATGCAATATGATTTTAAATAATATTCAGCAAAGTAGAATTCGTATCCTGCAAAAAGATTTCTGCTGTGCTTTCTTATATGATTAAACCTCCAAGGGAGAGTTTTAATGTCCTAATATTTATCTTTGAATATCCTTATTCCTCTTGGGCCGAATGGAGTTTGGACAGAGGTTTGCACTCGTGATGTCTTGCTGACTGGTGTAACTGTACTTGCCTGTTATCTTACTAGTTTTTGGTAAAATGCTACGTTTCTGTTACTGCACACTCCTTTTCCCATTCTTGCCAGCATCGTAGATGCAGCTCCAGCAGAGCCAGAGTAATTCCAGAGATATTTTTTGCAAGCTGTGAGCAGAATTCACAAGCCTGCAGTGTCCTTGCGACTGTCAAGAGTCCGGCAGGGCACCCCGGGCTATGGAGTGAAGTGTTGCTGCTATTTTCCCATTATGTGCTGTAATGATACATATCCTTTCTGCAGACCCCTCCAATTCTGAGATGTGTTTAGAATGGCAAAAGGCAAAGACATTTGTGCATCTTGCTCACGTAAAGCTACAGGGGCTCAAGAAACTGGGTCACAAATGGCAGCAGCTCCCAGAACTTCTTTCTCTAATCAGTGCTCAGTGCTGGTCAGGGAAGCACAAACCACATCTCATCCAACCTTATGCAAGAAATGGGAGACAGTAGGACAAATATAGCCCTAAATCTCAATATACACTCACTACTCTATATGGCCAATTTTATATAAAATGCTTGTTATGCCTGCACTGTTTTCAGGTCAATCTTTCAGATATAATCTATTTCTGTGATGCTTTGTACAGGTTTAATTTTTTTTTGTCTCCCTGTAAATAAACATGTGTTGATTATTTGAAAAACGATTCAATTCCCTTTAAAGAGAGCTTTCATTAAGAGTTTTCTGAGTGCTTTTCATGCTGAATACTGAAGACGATGGCTTGAGTGACTTCTATTTTCTAAGAGAGTGCCTAATCTCATTGGYGGAAATCATAATGGACCAAAAGCAATGATTTTATACTGAGCAATATCTCATCTAGTTCTACTGAAATGAAGGTGGAGCTTGAAATGTTTGAGTAAAATCTTATGCAAGGATATTTGACTCTTTGCATAAGAAGGACCTACTTGCATTCATTTTCCAAAGATGTACAAAGATGCCATGTGTGACGAGCATTATTTCAGTTCTAATGTGCTGAATCTGTGCAGTGCGTTTCTCAAACTGGAAGGCTGGGCCAGGAAACGATTGCCTTCGTCCCAGAGGTCAGGACAAGAAAAAAGTCTGTATTATCTGGATTATAAGCTTGTGCCTATTCACTGTGCAGGCTGGCAAGTGAATTTGTAGCTGTGACTAAGTGTATGGCGTTGGGGGGAGTGAAGAGCAGGGATGTAGACTTACAAGGCAGAGGGTGCTTGTGCTGATATTACAGAAAGAAAAGCTTGGCATGAGTTAGAGACAGTGGTTTAAGCAGAGTATAGATATCACCCTCATATGCACCACCTGAAACTTGTTTATTTAGCCCTCCATCTTCTTCTAGTGGGATTTACCTGAGTTTGAAGCAGAGCTAAGTTGCCAAGAGAAGGTTRAGAGGATGGAGGTCTCAAAGGTTGTTTCTAACAAGCTGTGACACCTCTGAATCAGTAGATGGAGCTCCAAGATAAATCGTCCAAGCCTGAAGCATTGCAATTAATTAAACGTATGGCTGCTTGGAGGAGACAATCATTACAAGACTAAATGATATCCRTAAGTAATCACTGGGGATTTATACATCTTATTCTAAAAATCATATCATCCATAAATAGAAATCTGTTAGAGAAAAAAAAACATTTTATGCTTCCCTGCTGGATCTCCCTGGTGCCTTTCCAAGCATTTAGTAAAGTCCAWGTGATATTCTAAATCATACATGTACTCTTGGATTCAGTGTTTTGTATTCAGACCCTTTTACASTTACATTACCGTTTACTATTTAATAGAAATTTGCCTCTGATTCTTGGCTTTCATTTTGTTTTCTTAAATTCATCATATTATCTCCATATCCCAACATACATGGTTAGTTTTGACTTTCAGCTGCTTATGCATTTTAGCCTTTTTGCCCTTGGTCTCCCAGATTATGGAGAATGCTTAGCTGTATAATCAGTGTTCACAAATTAGAGCTTCTATTTTTGTGGCACTTTTCATTGTTTTTCAGAATTATCTTTGACCTCTTCTGTTCACATATTTGCTAATTGTTCCCACTATTTAAGTGGTTCACAGAGCACTTTGGAAAGTGGAGATCCCTGAGTGCATAATAAAACAAATGCTTGGAATGAAACAGGAGAAAAACTAAGATCAACAATGAGAATTACCACCACTCCAAGCACTCCCTGGCCTGAGGWGTCTATAATAAAGAGGCAAATTTCCAACAGGCTTTTTTTACCATGATAGACAGCAGTAAAAGATAAACTGTCAGATTACAGATGAATATCTTTAAAACTGTTCATAAATTACTGTGGCTCTGGCAGGAATGGTCAATTGTTTTAGGAGAAGTTTAGCTTTGGAAATAATTGCTGAAGAAATACAAATTAATTAGAACAGGATAAGAAAATTGCCACGCAGCTTCCTTCCAGATAAGTGAAATTGCAGCCCTTGGTGGGAAGGGTTTGGAAGTTACAGGCTAGGCCAGTACAAATTGACTTTTGTAGGAGAGATGGAGGTCTGGATTAATGTTAGTTTGTTCACAGCACGGGGTGGCAAATGCTGCTGGTTTTGTCTTGTGTCYGGCTGCCTGATAGCTTCATGCAGCACCCGTGAAGTCAGGCCACTGTATTATTTTATTGGCGTGCCTTTATCCTGATAGCTAAATAAATATCCATTTGCTTCTCCTGATGTGTGCAAAATCYGTAGAGCAGCATTAGCAATATTATGTATTAATGTGAAATGAAATGAATAGTGATGTGAGTTAATCAGTTGGGCTCTGGACTTTGGCCGCAGCAGAGGAGGCTTACAGCTTGTTTTAACTTCAGGCAAGTGATGGGAAGAAACTGGGACCTTTAAAGTATTAAATGTAGCAATGTGGGTTGCTGTAGATGATAAGTCACAGACTCTGAGGATGTGGGTCCGTCTTCTTTTTTTCTGCTGGTTCCTTCTAGTGATTTCCCCAAGGCTGCCCCTCATGCAGCAYCCCAGTTTACTGTCCCATTCCTCAGAACAGCTCAACTCCAGCTCAGTGAGAAATGCAGATAAAAAGTGAAAACAATCAGGGAGAGGCTTATGGTGGGTGTTGACACTCTTTAAGGCTTGGGGACACACCTGATGGAGAAAGCTGAGATGTTTCCTCCCATAGGAGCGACGCTGAGAGRTAGTTTGTGCATATATAAAGGCTGGGCAGCAGCAATGTTAATTTAGAGTTTTGCAGCAGAAATTTTCTCCGAGGTTCTGCAGAGTTCCTCTGCTGCAACCTGCTTGCAGTATTAATGAAAATGTTTTGCTGAGCTTATGAGGCMCAAGAGATCTGTGTGCTGGATTTCCACTCATGCCACTTAACTTTGAGCAAGGTCCATGAGTATCCAAAATAAAGACTTCCATAGGGAAAAGGGACAGACCTTTAAAAATGGAGATTGATTAACTGTGGAAAAACAAAACACCGTCTATTGTTTATAAATTCAATTAAATATAATTGTAACCCTTGTAAGACAAAGCAGCAACTTTAATCAGAACTGTCGTTGATTTTTTTGAATGTCTTGTACTGCAGTCCAGCTTTGCTATTGAAACACACTCTTCTATTACATCTGGAAGGAGAGATGGCTCTAGTGGGAATAACACAAAACATTTATATTGGATTTCCCTTTGCTTTTTAAAAAAGAGGAGGTTAAAATAGCAGCAGCAATGTTGTCACAAGAGCATTTGCTGGGGAGCAGCTTGCAGAAGGCAACAGCCTTTGGCCTCGCTGTCAGTGACAGAGCCTCCCAGGTGGTTGCCAGTCTCCTGGAAATATTCTTTAGTCTTGATTGCTATAGTTAATTTTAAAGGCAAACATACCTTGTACTGAGAAGTGTAGCTTTTAAGCTAAACTAATTATCAGAAATGCATTAAGGATGGAATTTTCATCTTTTCAAATCCTCTGGGATTTTATGAAAGAAAGAGAAGGACAGATGCCTGTAGCTGGTGAAGTTTAAGCAGAGAGGCTATAGGTTTTTGGTAGGAAAGCACTAAGGAACACAGCAAAATTTCTTTTGATTCCTTCAGGCTAACTCTGGCTGCATAAAATGGAGCCATAAGCTGGATGAGGATGATATCACAGCGGGGGGAAAAAAAAAAAAAAAAAAAAGGAGAAGTTCTCCTGGAAACCTTCACAGCATGTTCATTTCTTCCATTGCAACACCAGCCCTAAGGCCAAACTTGTCCAGAATTTTAAACAAGAAATCCTAGGCAAAAATTTCAAACGTGGCTACAGCATTTTCAGTTATGGCCATGGTTTCTCTGGAGTAGATGCGTTTTGTTCTCAGAGAGCGTTTGAAGTTTCAGGAAGGCAGTTCCCATGAGTGCTTCTTAATGTGAAAAAAATCTCATACTGAGCCTAAATATTAACAGGAACAGGAGGGAAGGGCTAATGGGAGGGGACACTTGTACTACTTAGAGAAAATAGAAGAAATTACTCTATGTACGTAGCCTTTCTTCCATATCCTCTAAACAGAACCCCTAGACCTGAACGCTCCCTGGTCAGAAAGCGAGAGAGGGGAATAGCACAAATCATGTAGCCAGGATTTAGCACAAAGCTACAGAATTCTCTCTCCCTCTTAATGCTCTCTCTTTCTGCAGCCTCTGCCAGGAGCCCTGGAGTCCCTTCCACATTTAGCATCCTTCAGCACTGCAATCTCTCCTTGGAAAGGATCCAAAGGAATTAGAGAAGAGCAAAGAAATAAGGTAACAAATCTAGCAACAAACTTGTAGCCCCTSTCATAAATTGACTGCTGGTCTAAGCTATAGCTGGAATTTCAAGACGGATGTTAATGGTCTGATAAGACTTACAGTCCTAGGATTTTTTTTTTAATAGAAATAGCATTCATAATACAGTGAGTGATTCAGGAAATGATCCACTTTAGAATAGAACATCAAAGATAGACAGGCTGGGCTCATTTACTGGAGAAACAGTCCAYGTAAAATAATATTCCTAAAATCTCTTTGGTCAAGGAGACTGCTTATTGCAGAGATAGTGATCCAAGACCTCAGCTTGTTTAAATCAACATAGCCTGACTGATTGAACCTTGTGAAAACCTAATTGGGTAGTGCATCCATTCCTCTCCTCTCATCGGAGAGAGAGGAGGACAGAGCCATTCCTGTGCTAAAAGGAGAGAAGCCGTCACAAGCTGAAGTCTACAGTAGTGACAGAAGGAAAGAAATAAGTTTTTCTGAAAAAAAAAAAAAGATGCAAAACAGTTTGCAACCATAAAAATGCAATATAGCTGCTAGTTTTCAAGGAAGTGTCATAAAAAAGCTGATCAAAAACCCCATCCCACTTTGCAGCACAAAAGATTACGTAAAATGATATCATTTTCAGAGGAAAATTGTGAAGAGAAAAAAGCAAGAGACCTCAGCTCTCGCTCTGCAGAGTAATTACTAAAAGAAACCAAGTCAATAGCTTTGTTCTGTCAGGGATCACGATAACATGTATAAAGCCAGACAGGCTCTTTGGCTAGACATCATTAATATAAAACTCATAATTTAGAAAATACCTTTCCAGATTCAGTCCCCAGAGAGAAGTCTGCTTATGAAGCATGATTCAGTTACACTCCTAATCAGGGAAATTTCTTTCAAGCTTTATTCTAGCTGGGCAATATTTTGGTTCCTACAACCCAAAGACCAATTAAGTGCTTTGCATGCAGCTAAGCTATAGATAATGAATGCACTGTAAAAAGAAAATGCTTAATTCCACATTCAAAGCAAAAATAGCTCCTAGATTGCTTGCTTCTATACGGAAATGAACTGGACAATTTACAAGACTTCTCAAAAATGGTGTTCTGCAAGAAATTGGTGCCTAATCTGATTTTACAACCTGTCAGTCACAGTACACTAATACTGKAGTCTTTAGTGGGCCTTTGCCAGGAATGGGCTTGGCCCACTTTAGTTAACTAGAAGCTCTGGAAAGCCCTACCAGTGAAACCTGGAAGTGTCTTGGAAGCATAAACTCACTCACTAATGGGAGAAGGCAGGACTCTGTAACTCTCTTCTCTCTTCACAGGCTCTTGGAGCTGCTCTAGGCAGCTTCATTGCCAGGTCTCGACTCTGCTGCACACTCACAACTGCTGGTCTTTGACTTAATTGTGCCCTTAATTCCATCCTTGTGAAGAGAAAGCACAGAGGAAATCCTGTAGCAAAAAGATCCGTATGGTTCAGAATCAGAAGAGAATCCAACCTCTGCACCTGACTTTAAACAGGGAACTACTGTTTTAATAAATAGCATTTTGCAGGAGGATTAGTGAAAATCTTTCACAAAGGTTCTCTCTCTTCCGGCATAAGCAGGCAAATGATTTCATTGCATTCATGAAGAATCATGTTATCAGTGTCTCAATATTAGGACTTCGTTGACATCAAACCAGTTATCAATCCAGGTTTCTCCCAAAAGACAGTTGACTTCATGTCTTTGTCCATAAAAGATTTAAAAAGTGTGAGAGAGAGGGGGAGAAAAAAAAAAAAAAAAAGGCCCTTTTTATGTCTGTGCAGGCTCTTTGCTGCCAGATACTTTGGAGCATCTTCTTAGACTGCTTCCTGTTGGCTTGAATTCTGATTACTCTTCCTCAGGAAGTCAGTGTGATGTTCGTTCCACTGATTTTGTTGACTTTGCTTTCATGTACAGCGGGTAACACTGGGGAAAAGCAGAAAAGATGGAATCATTATGGATTCTGAAAGAAGTGAAAACAAACATCCGCCACAGAGCACTTCCAAGAGCAGAGGAGACCCTGCAGCACAGATCTGCCAGAACCTCTGAYTCGTCCCCACAAGCTTCATCTTTTGGAGTGGTGGATTTTCATGTCAAAAGAGACAAATCTGCACAAGAGGTGCGAACTACGCCTCCGGGTTCATGCAAGTCACTGCTTCCCAGCAAAAGGCAGACGACTGGGAAACTCATGCTACTCAACAGAAAATACTGAATTTCAGTTCAGTTCAGATGCCTATGGAGAGGAGGTGCTCTCAGAGAAGACACTTCATGGAAATCAGACAGGTCTTTCCTGGGTGCTGTTGGATGTATATCATTGTGTGGCTCACTTGTTGATATGAGTTTGAAAATCTGATCCTTGTTTTTCTTTTATCTCAAATAGTCAAGGCCATAATGTAGCTGCCCGGTTGGATTCAGTAAGATCAGTTAATCAAGATGCTCAATAAAATGAAGAAATAGAAGGTAGACGTGTTCTTACACCACTCTTATCGGAGCAACATGGAGAGCTCAGCTACTTTGTGGTTTTCTGGAGATTTGAAGCTAATTTAAAGTGCAAGTCTCTGGTTCTGGAGCATACTGGTTTTCCTGTGTTCTTTCTGTCATCTGCCTGGCTCTTTCTACTCCACACTCACTATACTGGAGCAAACACTGGACTCGCAACAACTGGACCAAAACCTTTATTTTCTTTAATTTAACAGCTCTTTTTGACTTAGAGAAAACCAAGAATATTTTTGTCATCCTCTTCAATATTGCTTAAGGATAATGCATTGTATCTATTTGTCTTCCTATGCATTGTATCTGCTTGTCTTTCTATCCCTAATTTGAGACAAGAAAGTAGCTTGACCCTTGATGTCTGGGCTTTAACTTCCCTCTATGCCCTATTGGTTGCAGTAAATTTAATCTTTTTCAGCTGTGAGCTCAGCATTGCAGCTCCTGATTAAAGAACTACGTATCTTTCCCTAGGCATCCGAAGCTTTCTTGGCACAAGAAGGTTCCTTGCTGTGATAAGGTCTTTTACAAACTAAGGCTGTTGTTTTATACTGCAAAGGCAAATCTGTCTCGTCTGTTTTGTGCTCATGCATGTTTGCTGGAAGGTGGAATGTTTGGACAATGTGCAAGGGAATTCAGGGAGGGAAAACATTCATACCCATCTGTGTGTTGCAGTCCAGGCTGTGGAACTGGAATAACTTACACACAGCACACGTTGGAAATTGCTATTTTACAGCACTTTGAGCGGTGTTAGGGTTTGCACTGAAGCATTTCCATGGAGAGCTTTGCAGTGCTGTCCTTTAAAAGCAGCATTTTCCCCCAAACCTCATTCTGCAGAGACGATACTTGCTGAGCTGTGCTGGTATGCAGCTCTGCAAGCTCAGATGCTGACATTCATATGACCCATTGATGATTTTGTTGGCTACCTGCCATGTTAAGAGATTGAATGCCAGTTTAATAGAGCCAGGTGCCCAGGCTTTGGTACTTACATTTGACAGCTGGATTCCTATCCCATCACAACATGTCTCCATTAAAAGACATTGACATCTCCCAACRAGGACAAAACCCCAAAGGACAAGGGCGGAATTCCTTATGTGAGGAGGACGGGGAAACATTGATGATAAAATGCATTGCTTGGTCAAGATACAAATGCAGTGTAAGTGGATTTGAATTCAGAATGGTACCTCTAAAACCAGAACTGAATAATCAGCTATTTGGGGGCTCACTCTTTCCAGCCCAGCCTGTCAGAGAGGCTGAAGGTGGCAGGTTTGTGACTGTCCGCACCACTGCAGATGCAGGTAACTGAATTTGTGTTTACTTGGATTCACTAATCCTCCCTTGCCTGCAGGTTTCCCCTGCTGGATGCAACAGGAGGATTTTTGTTTCCTCTGAGACGTGATTTAAGTCTCTTGCAGAATTCAGAAAACAGAATGGACTGTGCAGAACRCAAGGACAAGGCAGAGTAAATGGAAATAAAGCTGAGGGGAATATAAAGAAATAGCCTACACTCTGAACAGCTTGGATTCCTCCTTCTTCCGCYATATCTCTCATACCCACCCAACTCCCTGTGAAAGATTGAAAGAGAAAACATCAGAAATATAGAAACTTTGCCAAGAAATGATGCATTGACTTATGTGCAGGCTTTGTAATTGATTAAGGATCACAGCACACTCGCCTGCTCTGGCCAGGACAGCATCCGTGGAAGGAAGTATCAGTCACAACCAATGCCTAACTATTTCCAGATGRAGAAATATTTTGTATTAAAAGGCCTGTAGAGGTCATAGGCCATGTTGTTGCTCAATTTTCATATGTTTCAAAACCTCCTAAGTTTGTCACCAAAATCACCTGGATGCTGCTTGGTTAAGTTCTTTGTGTAGTGAGATACAGTTGCTACAGAGAGGCAGAARAGAGAACTGGAAATTCATTTCAGCTGTGATACAATGAGGTGAAAAATCAGTCCATAAGAAGCAGAACTGCAGATGTACAGTGTGAGGCTGTGCATGCTGCAGAGCATCCGAAATTACATTATTAGAGATGAGATTTGGCCATGTTCTGCACAACAGAGCCTAAAACAGTCAAAAATCTGTGGCAATCATTCTTTATTGCAGGAGTTTCCATAAAGCCTTTTGATGTGGGTTTTACCAAGCAGCTTTCAGCAGAGGAGAGGGATCCTTCAGGGCCATGGGGCTGRTTGTACAGGAACAGTCTGCCCTTGTTCCAATCCAAGGCGAGGGGGTACTTCAGGACTTCTCTTAAACACATGTGCTACAAATAGGAGGCAAGTGCTAACACATGTTTGCTTTACTTTGTGGGGAAGCCCTGATATTTGGCTTTGTGGAGGAGCATGTTGAACAAAAGGCAAATTCCTCAGCTGTGCACACAACAAACCTCTGCAAAACCTTCCTGATTTTGAGCTTCAAGAACCTTAGTTTCAAGGAAAAAGCGAAGAAGCTGCTCTCCCTGAAACACATGCACAGCAATCTCAGGGGGTCTGCCCCCCTCCTCCTGCATTTGGCAGTCCCTTTTCTCTCCTTTTTCCTCAGGTTTCACTGCCAGTACTGCTGGAGTTGGCTGGGGACTGCGTGCAGACTGTTTACCTGAAGGAGYATCATGTCAGTGCTTCATTTGCAAACATGAGTGCAACAGGAATACCTTAAAAACTGCTCATTGGTATGCATAGAGTAGCTGAGGCACACAAATATGTATGAAATTTTGATCATTGGTATTGAAATGGTGGTCCTGAATATAAAGTAGGAGGCTTCTGAATATAGCGATTGGGAACCCAATAAATACTGCTTTTCAAAATGATTGTTGTCTTCCATTTTAAAAAGGAAGATCTGATGCTAGTTAGTTCTTCATGCTAACCAGTGCCCTTTAGGGAATGTAAAAAACATTATTAAAATAACATTTTTTATATATGAAAAATAATTGCCGAAGCAAAAGCAAGCCTTTTATAATGCATATGAAGCTTTTAAATCTTTAGATGTGCTTGAGATGTGGCAGATAGGACATGAAAATGCCTACCTGTGCAATACCTTTGTGTTATCTGCTCAGGGAATAAATTCTCAAATAATTGATTGTCCTAAAAAAGAAAAGGAAAAAGGAGGGGAAAAAATGAAAAAGAGARCAATAGAGAAAGTCCTGTACCTGCTTCCAGCAGCCACCTGTGAAAAAACTGCCTTTCCAGCTTGCTTGCTGTGGCAGCTCTCTGAAAAATCTTTCCTAGGCAGTTGCTTGGAGCTCAGGGTCCAGGATGTCAGTTCCATAGGTGACAGAGGCTCATCTTATTCTTCAGTCATAAGCAAAAAGGAATTATTTTTGGAGGTCCTCTAAAGTCAAATGCTGAGCACAAAGTCATTAGTGTTCAACAAATTGAGAATCTGATCTTAAATTTATATTTTGCAGTCAACTGCACTGCAAAACATTATTAAAACATGTCACCTTTGAGTTGATAAAAGTCATCAAAATGGCACCAAAGCCTTCTCTTATTATTTTACATGGACATTTCCTTAATAGCTAACAGGGGAAAATTCTTTGACACAATATAGAAGTATCCCATTAGACAGCTGGAGATCTTAATCTTTCCAGCCTACATCAGAGAGGACGAGAACAGGCCCATCCTCAGAGAGATGTAGAAAAACCAACACCAGATCTTCTGCAATTCCCTTTGCAGAGGCCCTGACATGGGCTCCTCCTCTTGCACTGTCAGCTCTAATCCCGAGTGGCATCAGCTCTTCCTACAGCCAGCACGGAACCAGACAGAGGGAAGATGCCAGATTCTTTTTTCTGCTTTATCTGTCCCTGGTCTAACAAACCGTCTTTAATTAACCGTCTGCCTCTTTCAGAAGTTTTATTCAAACAGTG